GGCTTTGAACTTGCCATCTCCTGCCTCAGCCTCCTAAGTGGCTGGGATTACAAATGTACACTACCACATCTTGCAAGTATTTTAGAAGTTCAGAGCCTAACAACTGCCATTTGAGTTTAAGTAAGATATGATCATTCCTTCCAAATATAACAAAGTTAGCATGTAATAAAAAGTTGTGTCTAAGAAGTTTGGCTTTGAAAAAGAGCACATGCCCAGCATATTCCTACTGGGTTCAGCATGACCTTCAGCTCTGATTCTAGCCAGACAGAAAAGTTAGATGGGAAATTAGCTGAGTGAATCATGGTGGCTCTAGTTTCCTTTCAAGGCCATTTGTGTTCCTGGCTCATCTTTCATGACAGTACACACATGACCAGTGGCACACAGTGACGAGTCCTTCCAGCAGGACCTTGCTATTATTACACTTTCTCACCATATTCACATCAGTCATCACAAGAAGCCTGTGGTTTACAGGCCATTTCTCGTGATCTGGGTTCTTGTCCCCACAGGGTTTAGGTACATCCCCTAAGCTGAACTCCTGCTTCCCTCTCCTCTTCCACTAGAACTTATGGAATGACATCAACAAAATCCCCTCTAGATCTTTTCTCTGAACATTCTTTCCTCTTGCTCTAATTGAGTACTTCTCAATTCTGGCTGCACTTTAGAATCACATGAAAAAATTTTAAACACCCAATGACTGGGACTTACCACCTAATTCCAAAATTTCTGGGCCTCAGCAGATTTAAAGCTCCCCCAGATGATGCTACTATGTAGCCAAGGGTGAAAACAGCCAGGCTAACTAAACTTCTACTGTCTCTTCAGCAGCTGCTTTCCATAGAGAACTTTCTTATTGGGGGACTATTTCTTTCCCACAGTTCTGGCACCACTGGGACTGGAGATGAGGAGGTGGCCTGCTCTTCACTGCCACCTTCAGAACACTCAATCTTCCCTCAAATCTGGCTTTCCAAATCTCTGGTAGTTCCTCAAACATACCAGGACCTCATGCATATCTGTTTCTATGCATTTGGTTTTCTTCCCCTACAGGAAGTCTCTGTATCCCTCAGCCATCTAAAAATAAAGAGGCTCTTGTTTCTTTAAAAGTCATTTCAGTGATCACCCCACCCATCCCATGAGCCTTCCTGATCTAAATGTAACAGTATTAATAAGATGTTTCTTCCACCGTGCCTGTTATCTTAGTACTCATAACATTGCTAGTGGGGAGCACTTGCTATGTTAAGATAAGAAACTAGTGGCATAAATAGGAAAATTCTAAGCACATTAGTCTAGAGGAAGCCCTAATTCATCAGATGTGGTGCCAATGTAAAACTTAAAAGTTAATACTTTGTATCCCCCAAATCTTTTCTTTATTAAACATAATTACACTGAATCCGTGGTTCTATCACAATTGCCATAAGAAATTTGGCATGAGATCAATGCTATTAAAGGGATTTAGCTATGGAAGTACTAAATAGTCCCTTAGCAGAGAACTGACCTACAGGACAAGCACAAACTCTGTAGATGGCATTTTACTTTATGCAGAAACAGCAAGCTAATAAGTTCAACTAACACTCACTTTAATGCGGCTCCATATGAAACAGTCTGCTCTAATTGCTTTCTGTTTTTTTATGCTATGAATTGGTCTTAAAAAAAAAAAAAAACACTTCTGAACTGAGCCAAAAGACCATGCTCTGGTTTCCAGTCTTTCCAAAGGAAAATGTGGAACAAAAAAACGCTTGATTCTTTATTCACTTGGTCCTTCTTGCTCTTACCTAATAGTATGAAAAATAAAAGATCTGTTTCTTTGAATTTATTCCTTTCCCTAACTCTGGGGCCCCATTTGTATAACTTAATCCAGATGTTCATATCACAGTGGTGCTTGGTATAAGTAGAATCCACCTAAACTGCATTTTATGCTGAAAACCTATACCTCATCTCTCTCACTTGATAAAAGTAGATATGTTTCTGTTACATGTAGATATATATATGCAAATGTACAAACTCAAATGAGTATGTAACATACTCGGAACCTGGAAGTATATCACAACTGATTCGTCACATAGCTTTTAAAACAGTGTTCCTCTGCAGGAAACAGAACATTTTTTTCATTATTACAAACTAGTCTCACCCATTTATCAAGTTATATAATAGGAAATATCTAAATCCTACAAATAATACAGAAACTTTAACCTCTTCCACAGCTACTAATAAATGTAATGATTTTAGTTTTACCATGCTTCCTGGTTTCTCCCCAGGTCTCCAGGTTATGGTACTACAGTCTAAGCCCCCATGAAAATGTCTCTGTAGATTCCAAGTTAGGTTGATGGTCTGAATATAGCAGATATTCAAAATATTTTACAAAGCAAAGGAAGAATTCAGAGTGTTTAAGTTCTTTATAATAAAATTTGCTGTGAGACAGCAAAATGACCTCATGAGGGAGTAAGCAAGAAGGAATTGAAAAACAATCAAAGAAAGGGAACAAACTGAAAACCTGGACAATTTGAAATCTCAAGCTAATGTGCAGTGAACTTTAATTTTTAAATCTTCTAGAGAAGACTATTGGTATAACATAAAACTTAACTTTAATCACATAATACAGAAGTGAGGTGACAGATGAGAACAATGTGGAAATGCTCTTAGCAACACCTTAAGCCTGGTGTTCTAATAATGTTTCCTAGCTCCTAAGCCCTCAGGATAGTGGTAGGTATTTTATAAATATAATGATGAATGGCCACACAAGCTACAAAATTGCTTTAACAAAATTGAACAGGTTTTTTGTTGGTTCTGTTGTTGTTTGTTTTTGCCATAGGACTTCAAAACCTTTAGTGGGTTCACATACACTAGGAATCTCCCAAAGGTTGTATAGAGGGAGCAGCCTGCAAATTTTTCTTACCACAGAACTCTACTAATATCTTCCAGAGACTGTTTCATCACAAGAAATTTGGGAAAGACTATGGTATTCCATACAGGTGGTGACTGAGATTCTCCTAGGGTCAATATTAGGAATTTGACATGGCAAGAAGACAAAATACAACCATGTGCTTATTACCCAGGACTGTTATACTGAATATGTATCCCACTTACAGTGGATGAAAGGGGGCAATGGCAGAAAGGAAATGGCCTAGAGATTTTTCTGCCTCCATTGCACACCTGTTCTCCACAGTTAGGCACCTGAGCTGGAGACTTGGGTTGAGTGCTGAGCTCAGTGTTTAAACTGTGCTGGGCAATCTGGTAGACAAAGAAGCAACTTATCCATTAACAGGAACTGGAGAATTCCCAGTCTCCCTGTCAGATCCTCAATCACCATGCCCAAAAAGCAGACAGGAAGCCCACTTCAAGCAGCTCACATGAGGACTTGCAATAAAGTAGCACAGTTCAGGCCACTGTTGTCATTTGTGTAACAGGGAGGTTCATTACAAAAGTGTTTTCAGACAGGTCTTCCACACATTCATTCAGGGGGTCCTCAAGTCTAGGTTTGAAACTGCAGCAGGTAAATGAGTACTCCCAGAAAGTCAGTTAATTTTGTTGTGATCCAGTCCAAGTTTGCTGTTGGTACAAAGCAACAGCCTCAACTCATCTAGGTCCTCCATGGAGGATTGGTGAAAGCCTCAGTTATGAGTATAATGGATCTGCTGTGTTGCTGTAGATGTAGACACTTAGACTCCAGTGACAGAGAGAGGAAGGGCCTAAAGACTTCAGTTTGGAACTGGCTCTACTATTTACTAGTTACCCCACCTTGGTGATCTGCTTAACTCCTATGTGCTCCCATTTCCTCATTTGTTAAAAAAAAAGGATGATATTAGTACCTACTTCATAAGATTTTATAAAGATTAAATTATGCTTTGAAAGTAGTTAGTACAATGCCTGGTCTATTGTAGATGCTCAATTAACATAGCTAATAATTTTGAATGAGGAGAAATTATGGCCAAGGAAAGCCTTAGGGTGGAACTATGATTTGGCATTAGAGAAAGACCAGACTTGATAACTACTTGTTAACTTATCAGTACCTCTTAAAGCCAGTACTGCATTCTGAAAAAAGAGTTCTTGCTTGTTATATACAAGTCAAGAAGAACTGGGCTTTTTATTACCCTTCAAACTGAAGTAGGAAGTCAATATCATGGTATTTGCATCTTGTGGTTCAGTGGATGCTCAAGACCATCTAACTGCCTGAAGGAACAGTAAACAAATGTTAAAAGTGGTTTCAGTGACTCAAGTCCTGAGAAGCACTACATGAAAAGGTATGCTCTGAGCCACCCCCCAGAGCACGAAGTAGAAACTGTCTGCAGAGAAATTTCCTAACATTTTCTGCCAAAAATTGGAAAGGGTCATTAAAGATAGAAAGTCTCTTCAGCAGCAATTAGCAAAAGGAAAGATCTATAGCACTATCTACCACACTCCATAGATTTGCTTCTTGCTTCTCACTTTCAATTCCACAGAAAGTGTTGATGAATAAGCCATAGTGACACATGGAAATAAGGCAGAATTAATTTACAGGTGAAAGAGATTTTGTTGACACATTCTCCCACTCCTACCATTTCAGCTTATTGTTCTGAAGGTAAATACCATACTAAAGAAAGCACTGCATGGGCCAAAATCACAGCACTAGCCTGGTGTTGATGACCATTTATTTTTAGTTTATGTGGAATAAACATAACTCTTAAAATGCTAATGAAAATATAACCACCCAGACTGAACATACTATACAAAACAACCACATCCTCCGCCTCCTTCTATTCCTCTCTATGAAAACCACACACAACTCTCAATAGCCAAGAATGAACAAGTACACGTTTGCTTGGTGGCTTATTGAGGAAATTTTTCCTTTTCCACATGAGGCTGGGCTGGCTAGAATGAAAAGAAATTAATCCACTCTACTCCCTTCATCCAGATATTTCCTGGGAATCTGACAGACCAGTTCTGTGGCGATAAACGCTTGCAAAGACACACACTGGGAGGACAATTTGTGTACTATAAAATGCTTTACAGAAATTAAATCTGTCTCCTACCTGTGATGGACAAGGCCTTGGTGGGAGTGCAGGTGGCGGAGGCAATAATCCCGATTTAGTAGCTGAAAAGAAAAACACATATTGTTAAAGACCACCCCATAAAAAGAAGACAAACAAAAACCTCTTGTATTGAACTAGGAATAGCAATGGCATTTGTATTTAACATGTTTTTAAAATCCCTCTGAATTTTTTTTAAAAAAAGACTACATGTTATTTCTAATCCCTTTTTCATTTCCATCTTACCCAAAACACAAGTATTTGCAAAGGCTGTTAGGTAAATACTTAGGTTCATTTTATGACTAAGACAGTATAAAATGATAAGAAAAAAACATCTTTTGATCAAAAGCTGGGAACTCTGCATGGGAAAGGTGGATAATCCTTCATCATTCTGATGTTGATTATTTAGTTTCAAATAATACAGGCTTCTGTCATATTTCTCCCTAGATCTCAGCCATTACTGCTGTTTAACTGAATGTATGGGCTGTCAAAAGGAAGGGAGCCAGAACCCCCAAAAAAGCAACTCTGCCACCCTGTATGTGATCCTGTGATTGGATCTGCCTGCAGTGGGAAAGGCCAAAAGTGATGGACTGAAGTGATTGATTTATTTATTTGAAAGATCTCAATTTCTTTTCTCTCCCTGATCATTATTATCAGGGATAACTAAATCTGTTTCTAAAATAATCTGGCAACTTTTGAAGGATGTTTTAAAAGAAACTTGCATGTTTTTAATTTTATGAGATACAGAGAATATCTGAGTTAAGCCAAGAACATCTGAATTATAACTTAACAATGAAAGTAAACACCTACTAGAGAATTATGAATAAAGTCCATAATCACACACAAGAAATAAGTTTAGGATCACATAATGGCAAGTAAAAACTACATTGTTTACAAACACCTTAGAAAAACCCATGTATTTATAACTATATGTAGTTTATTCAAATATTTATAATACATGTACTAATATTTGGACAATCTTCTGTGCCTTAAACAACAAATAATACCAACATACCAATAACATGAAAATTTTGAAAATCACTATTGATTTGACCTAGCTGAATCAGACAAGTTAGAAGATGGAGTTTTGTGCTTTCCACAAACGTAACTCAGAGTAATATTACAAAGCTGCTCATTCTGAGCCAGTGCATGGATACGGTACAGCCATGTGGGACCTACAACTTCTCTCAATCTGTCTTTCATTAAAATTTATAAAACACATCAGTGGATCAAAACACTAGAGGTTGAACAGCCAATAGTAACAAAGCGTACAGTACAAAAGAATGCTGAAAGCCTTCAGAAATTATCCATCTCAGGCCTGTACTCTAAAGGTTAGAGTGGATTGGGCTTTTAAATTACCAGTTACTTTAAAAACAAAACAAGTAAATAAGCAAAATATACATGTTTCTAAAAGAATGGCCACAAAATTGCATCGGAATACGTGTATTAAAACAACCTTTTATTAACAGAAGAGGGCTACGCATGAAATGATAAGTCATTTAGTTAAATTGACTTCTGCTTCCAGCCAAGATGGAAATAAAACAGATTTACTCACCCATTTGAAATAACAAAAAACAGAGAACCATACAAAACAACAGTTTTCAAGATACTAGAACAAAACATATACAAAAAGAGATTTCAAAACACCAGAAAATCAGGCAACAAAGATGGTGATTCCTGAGAGATAGGAAACAAACAAGGCAAGTCATGCAACTGTCCCTGCTCACTACCTTGAGAGTTACTAGAAACAGGATCTATATCCAAATTCAGATCAGATTATGCTCCTTTTTTACTATTAATTTTTAAAAGGACAGATGCCATGTTTTTCTTTTTTTAAAAAAAGATGTATAGATCTATTTCTGAATGCACTTTTGGATAAAATCATATCACCTACATCACCATTTATTAGGTTCATTATAAGTTGCCCCAACTATAAAGGAAAGATAAGGTAAAAATCAATTTCAGACCATTTAAAATAGAACCCTGCCTCAGTTTCTTACTACTAGGTTTCAAGAAACAAAATAGTATCACAAGCATGTGATCATTGGTCATTCTGAATCTTTAAAGAGTTGATATTGGGGGGGCTGGGATGTGGCTCAAGCGGTAGCGTGCTCGCCTGGCATGCATGTGGCCCGGGTTCAATCCTCAGCACCACATACAAACAAAGCTGTTGTGCCCATCAAAAACTAAAAAATAAATAAATGTTAAAATTCTCTCTCTCTCTCTCTCTCTCTTTAAAAAAAAAGAGTTGATATTGGTTATTTTCCTCATTAAGTTCTAAGAGGATTCGGGGTGGTCAAATATTATATCACAAATAATAACAACAGCTTTGTTTCCTCTTGTTGATACCTTTACCACTATTTTTCTGATCTTACATATATACCTAGAATATCTACTATTAAGCTAAATTAAAATGGTGATAATGGGCATGCTCGTCTTCTCTCGATTGCAAAGAGAAACATTCACTAGTTCACCATGAATTATAATGTTTGCTATATAGGTTTATGGTGGTTATCCTTTAAAATATTATGAAAATTCCTATTTATTCTTATTTTGAGATTTTTTTCATGGTGATTTCATGTTAAATTTTAAGCAAAGATGCAACTCTGCCCATTGTGAATATGGTATTTTTTTCTTATAATTTGTTAATGTGGTGAATTGCATTATGGATTTTCTTTTTTTTAATATTTATTTTTTAATTATCGGCGGATACAACATCTTTGTTTGTATGTGGTGCTGAGGATCGAACCCGGGCCGCACGCATGCCAGGCGAGCGCGCTACCGCTTGAGCTACATCCCCAGCCCCTGGATTTTCTAATATTAAAGCATTCCTACAGACCTGGGATAATCTCAAATTGTTCAGGTTTTTAACATCGCCTACATTTAGTTGGCCAATATTTTATTTGGGATTTTTGCAACTATATTCATGAATGACAATGACTATCATGATTTTCCTTTCTCATATGGCCTCAGTTATGATCGGCTCAGCTGGAAAGCATTCTCATTATTTGTACTCTGAAATACACTGTATAATATTAGAAACATTTTTTCTGAATACCAGGAAAAAACATGCCAGTAGAGTCATCTGGGATGAAATTTTTGGTTAATAATTCCATTTCTTTGACTGTCTTAGGACTATTTAGACTTTCTAGTTCTTAAGTCAGTTCTGATATGGTATTTTTCTGGACTGTTTTCATTTTGTCTAAATTTTCAAATTTATTATCATGATGATTTTCATACCCCCTTCTTATGATCATATTAATCTCTACATGTGTAATTATCTTTTTCCATTTCTTTTGATGTCATCATTCTACTTTCCCTTCATTAATCTTGCTTGGCATATATCAGCTATGTTACTCTTAAAAAAAAAAATCAGCCTCCATATTGTTATATATGCTTTCTGTTTCATTAATTTTCCCACTTATGTTCTTTGGGCTTGTCTACCTTTTTTCTTTTCTAGTATAAACATTTAGGGTTATAATTTTTAATTGCCTTTTAATTAGAATTTCATAAAACTTTACATGTGATATTATCATTTGGTCCTAAAACTTCCTAAATTCCACTATAATTTCTTTTATAATGTTATTCTGTCTTAAGTATATCCTTTAAAGGTTTCTTTTTTAAAAAAATTTAGAGTCCATTAGTAGCAAACTTATTGAAATAACTACTTTCTCCCAGCATACTGAAGGCAGAATTTCAGTTTTTTGGCTTCCATTAATGCTGTAGAGAAGTCAACTTTCATTCAACTTGCTGTTCTTTGTTAGTAATTGTCTTCTCTCCAATTGCTTTTAAGATCTTCTCTTTGTTTTTGTACTCTGAAATATCAAACTTTACCATGATTCTGCACAAGCATTATTTCCTCCTTTTTCTTTCATCACCTGCCTAAGCTTCTTTGGATCTTCTTCTTTCTGATCATGTGGCATTCCCATTAACTTTGGTTAATTCTCAGTGTCTCTTTGAACATTGTTGTTCTACCATTTTCTCTTACCTCTCCTTCAGGAGCTCTTTGTCTAAGTATTCTGTGTTTTGGATAGTTTTCTAAGATTTATTGTCCAATTAATCTAACTCCTCTTTAGCTATACTTAATGTCTTGTTAATTCAGTCTTTGACTTTCCACTACATTTTTTTTTCTTTTCTAGAAGTACTAGTTGGTCCTTTTTTCAATGGTTGTTCTTTTATTTGTAGAATGAAGAATGATAGCCTCTGCTATTTGACTTGTGAGTCTGTAGAATGCCTATAATATAACTTTTAAGTATAGATAGATTGAATACATGGGAATAATCTCACTTTTATTAACACAACAGTGAATGGATTTTTTCAGGTGCTTGTTTTAATCTGCTTTGCATCACTGTGACCAAAAGACCTGGCATGAACAACTTACAGGAGGTAAAGTCTATTTTAGCTCACGTTTTCAGAGGTTCAGTCTACAGTCAACCTACTCCATTGCTATGGGTCCTAGATGAGGCAGAAAATCATGGAGGAAGGGCATTGATGGAGGAAAGCAACTCAGGACAAGGCAGCTAGGAAACAGAGATAGAGCTCTACCCACCAAGGACAAAATATAAACCCTAAGGGCATGCCCCCAGTGAACTACTTCTCCAGGTACACCATACCTGTCTACAATTGTCACCCAGTTCATCCATACCAGAGGATTAATCCACCAATTAGGTTAGGGCTCTCATAATCTAATCATTTCACCTCTGAACCATTCTTGCATTGCCTCATACATGAGCTTTTGAGAGACACCTCATATTTAAACCCTAAGAGTGCTCTCCTTTAAATTTGGAATTGGGGAAATAGATGAGTGATTGACAGATGCCTGAGCAGATATGCAATATCAAAAAATACTGCAGAAGCCTCCTCATTTCTCAAGAATCAGTGCCAAACTCCTCTGGAAGTAGAAATAAGATGAAGAGAGCAATAAAAAGTAAGGTGGCCATGCCCTATCCCTTTTTAACCTGATAACTCAGAATACAACAAATTTTTTTAAACTTTCATAAGAAATACAGGACTATATCCCCCCCCTTTAAAAAAAAAAAGGCCAACTGAAGCAATTTAGAAGTGG